GTTTAGAAGAGGAAGTGATGAGAAGATAAGTTTATTTTCTATTTAAACATAAAAACAGCATTTTACTAACAACTAAAGGTGACATAGATAATTTATTATGGTATAGTATTTAAATATATGCCTGAGAAACACATAATATTGGCCCTTTAAGTCCACTATTCCAGCAAATAAATTATTAGATAATAAGCCTCTATTTATCTTGCAGTCCTCTCAGCTACATGACAAATAATGAAAATGTATTCTGATCCAGTTTATCATTTTCATCTTTTGTCACCAAAACAAACACAAACTAACAAAATTTAAAGAGTTTTTCTTAATTTTCTTTCTCGCTCTAACTTTTGTCAGGTTGGAGGATGTACCTCTGCCCTCAACAGGTGCAAAGGATGTGCTGGTTAAACTGCTAGCAGCGCCAGTAAACCCTTCTGATATAAATATGATTCAAGGTATTTGGTTTGTTGTTGTTGTTATTGTTTACACACATGAACTTTTCCCACCCTTACAGCCAGTCTGACCAACCTTGAGCTGTGAAGAAAAGCACAATAAACTGTTGTTGCCATAACAGTTTCTGTTTTTTTAGGTACTTATGCTATTCTCCCCGACCTCCCAGCTGTTGGTGGTAATGAGGGTGTAGCCCAGGTCATAGAGGTGGGCAGCCAAGTTAAGTCTCTCAGAAGAGGAGACTGGGTCATCCCGAGGGATGCTGGTCTGGGTAATTTACGGTTAAAAAGACACAAACGAGTCGTCAGGTCTCATTAAAAAAAAAAAAAAACGTAGTTTTTGTGTGAACAGGGACATGGAGGACCATGGCAGTGTTAGCAGAAGATGATGTCATCTCGCTGCCAAATGACATTCCCCTCCTCGCTGCTGCCACTCTGGGCGTGAATCCCTGCACTGCCCTCAGGATGCTCTCTGACTTTGAAGATCTCAAGTCGGGTATAATTTTATACCAACTTCCCTAAAGTTTTCGTTTTTCTTTTTTCAAACTCACCAATAGAAACCATGTCAGTAATAATGAAACAAACTAAAGTTTTGACTCTGCTGCTGTTTTCATCATCATATGACAGTTTACCTCCATTTGCTGTTTCTGTAGGGGACTCTGTGATCCAGAATGCAGCTAACAGTGGAGTTGGACAGGCTGTTATACAGATTGCTGCTGCAAGAGGAATAAACACTATAAATGTTATCCGAGACAGGTGAGCTCAGTCTTTGAGGTAAGTTTCTTTTTTCAGTTAATTTAGAAAAATAAGTGGTAAAACTGAACAAATAGAACATGTTTTAGGACCCTCTAATCAGTATTTTTCTTAAGGACTTAAAAGATGCGTCACAACTGTTTTTAATTTTTAATTTCCATATATGGTGATCTTTGTGTCTTCCCCTTCAAAGGTCAGATTTCACGCAGCTCAGTGAGCGGCTGGAGGCCATGGGAGCCACACATGTGATCAAAGAAGAAACCCTAAGGCAGCCTGAGATGAAGGAATTGTTCAAGGTCTGTGAGTCAGGAAATAAACTCACAGATGCATATRAAGAGAAGTGGTAGTGTGGTTTTATTTGTTAGTAATTATATATTCCTTTTCTTTTTGAAGACGTGTTCAAAACCTAAACTGGCTTTAAATGGAGTCGGAGGCAAAAGTGCAACAGAACTGCTTCGTCATCTGCAGTGAGCATCTTAAATCACCTTTAATAAGGAAACGCTGTTATGGAGCAGAGGAAAGCCAATTATATTCTTATTTTTTTGCCGTATGTTCCTTGCTTTTTTCAGAGTTGGAGGGTCTATGGTGACATATGGAGGCATGTCCAAACAGCCAGTCACAGTTCCTGTGGTAAGAAGGCTTTTAGGGGGGAAATGTTCACATCTTGGGAAAACGTCCTGCTTGCTTGCTAAAGATTAGAMGAAGACGAAGACACTGTTCCTTCATGTTGTTTTTAAAGGGATCCACGATTAGTTGTAACATTAGACTTTATTTGATAAACATATATTTTAAATGTAAAATAAAGACTAAAAATATTGTAGGCTGTTTAGTTTTTATAATTTTTAAACTAAAACTTTAAAAATATATTATATGGACGGAGCCGTTTTATTTACACGCAAAGCATTCTGGATAAATGATGGCATGGACAGGTCATC